GTATCGTGACTATAAATCAATTATGAATTACATCGGGTAATGTGCTTGTGACCAGGTTGTCGGTTGGCGTGAAATTGAATTTTAAATCGTTGATAACCGTAATATAAACCTGCTTCTAGCGATCTCATTTCTGAAGCCATCCAAATATTGTCCCAGCTTGATTTTCCATTTGAGTGTATCTCACATTCAATAAGTTTTTTTCTTATAAATTTTCCAACATAAAAGTCCAAAAAGTTATTTCCTGCATCTGTTTCCCAATTTGCCACCATGCTATTTAGCATAAAAAACCATTGTCAAAACAACTTATCGTCCAAGCGCCATTCAAGAGACAAATCTAGAAATTCCTGTGATGAAAATGAAGAACAAAAATAAAAATGAGAAAGGGAAAACGAAAAATAAAATAAGATAAAATGAATAATTCAATACGCCATGGAGTGGAGGATAAAACATATTTTCCATTTCATGTATCATTATGGTTAAGAACTTTTGATATGAATTTTATTAATCGTGTTCTGTTCTTTTATATGATTTTTTTATCGCTGCTGCGTGATGAGAATAATTTATGAAAAAGACATTTGATTCTTTCGTGAAAAGGAAAAAGATTGTACTGATAAATTTCATAGTCTTCTCTTGAAAATGTTGCATTGAATCAAATTAAATGCCTTGTGGGTTAAAGATTGAGAACATAAGTAACATGTATTTCAAGGAAGATTCTATCTAGATTAAAAGAGTTACAACTAAACAAATAGCGATGTCTTTAGGTTATTTGTCAATTTGAAGATGAAACGAAACTCAATTAAACAAGTGCAAATCCCTTCAGGTAATTTGACTGATTTGAATTTGAGTATAAAGGAAAAATTTCAAGGTAATCATAAATTGAATCTCAATGGTATTAATTTGTAAATAAAATAAATATAGATAGTTTTAACAAGTTGAAATTAAATAGAATTAAAAGAGAATTTTGCTTCTTTAGCCAATGATGTCTATCATTGTTACCACCCTACACCACGCGGAGGTGAAGCATTGTAGGGTAAAAATTGTCGGGCCTCTGACTAAGGGTAGAGAGGATCAAATGCACCCCTTTCTCACCAACACTATCATACCTTTTCACTCCAACACTTGCATCAAACTATCATCCTCACATACAATATCAGGTACCAGGTGCAATCAATCCTCCCTAAATGCCCCTAGTCAAAGACCCGACTTTTGGTTAATCTTTGAGGAGCGTTTAAGAAGTTGTATAATTAGTTAATTTTTTTAATTAAGTATCTAAGAAATTCCAATGTTTAATTCAAATTTAATGTTCATTGTCAAAGTGTCAGAATAAAAAGGCTTAACGTTCGATGATTCTTGGGTTAGTAATTTTATATTTAGAGGTACAATGATTATTGAACCCTTCTATAATTCTTCTTGGTTTTGGATCATCGAGTCCTCTGCGTGGATCGTTGACTATTAGTCTTGCCCATGGGTCCTTGCGTGGAATATTGTTAATATCTCGAGAGTTCATTTTATCATATCTAATCCTTTCCTTACACACGGTAGCAAATCTATTAGCTGAGTCAATGCGTCCATAGATATGACGACGAAGGCGATCTGCTCTGGTTTCGGTTGTTTTGCAGTAGCCAACTCATATAAATAAGGGTTTTTTTCTACAAAACTTTTATGGAAATTTTCTGCGTCCTTGCAGAATACGATTTTTCTCTCTCTTCTGCACTCATATACCTCATATACCTCATAAGTTTCAACTGCGCATCATTGGTATCGTCATAATCAATCATGTCTTTTTTTGTAGAAGTTCATCCTTATACTCATTTCTATAGTAATCTTCACCTTCATATTCAATGATTTCACTCACGTATGCTCGTGCAAAAGACAGATTTCGATATTTAACAATACTTCCTTTTCTTTCCTAATTAAATATCAAAGAGAAATGGTTGAAGAATTCAGTTTGCTGTGAGAAATATAAACTTACGCTTGTCCCTTGTCTTGATTGTCTTGAAATCAATTCAGCATAACCTCCGTGGTATTTGTCTTCATCTTCATCTTCACTTAGTAATTTTGTGATGTGATGTTTGATGGTCCACTTTCTTGATTAACAACATGTTGATTTTGTGATTTAGAAGCTACAAATCATATGAGAATAGAAGAGTTGATTAAGTACTTGTATAGATAAATTGACCTCAAGTCAGAGGCCCTGGTTGAAATTGATTGAAACTCATACTCAGAGTTAGTACTAACATTAACTTACATTCAACATCATTAGCATCTTTCGCTCATGAAATTTGCATAATCCTATTGTTTAATACATAAAATCAATGGTAAAGTATAAATTGACCTCAAGTCACAGTTGAAAGAGATTGAAACTCATACGCAGAGTTATTACTATTATAAACAATCATTCAACATTATAATAAACTTTCGCTCATGAATTTTGATAAATGCTATCGTTAAATACATGAAAAATGCTTGATTAGATGATGAATAAAAAAAGAGTATAACTATTCACCTTGCTGAGAAGAATTTCTCGATCAGGTCTCCATTCTTCCCCTACGATGGTTGATGTTTCAGCATCTTCATTCTCACCTTCATCTCCCTCCATTTCCATGCTTTGTTGTTCTTGTTGTGGTTGCTGAGGCTGTTGTGATTGTTGTTGTTGTGATAGTTGGTCAGGCTGAGGTTGAGGCTGCTGTGATTGTTGTTACAAGATACACACAGACACACACACACTCTCACACACACACACATATATATATAGAGAGTTAAACATGAGAGAATGATGTTGTGAGAGCGTGTTGCAGAGTAAGAGAAGTTATATAGAGAGAGATACAGTCGGAGAAAAGAGTTTGACGGTGGTTTATATCATTCGCGCAGGCAAAATGATAACAATTTATCAATCAAATCAATGTTAAATTTGAATCTCTTGATTATCTAATCATTGATAAATTGTTATCACATTTTGTGCGCAAATAATTTAAAACCAATCAAACTCATTCTCAAACTATATATATACAGAGAGAGAACACAAAGAAGTACAAGAAAGAGAGAGATAAAAATGGATTATTAAAAAACTTATTAATACAGGGCGTTTTTTATCCACTACGGCTATACTGCATATCTCAAGAACTAAAAGTCATATGAATGTCATACTTGACCAGAGGACTGAACAGAATTGAAGCGCTCAACCCTACGATTTTCAAGGTCATTGAGGTCTTTTAACGAAGTCAGCGCTTGCAGGTCATTTTTCTATCTTTTCGATTCGCTATCTTCGTTAAATGACCTCAATGACCTTGAAAATCGTAGGGTTGAGCGCTTCAATTCTGTTCAGTCCTCTGGTCAAGTATGACATTCATATGACTTTTAGTTCTTGAGATATGCAGTATAGCCGTAGTGGATAAAAAACGCCCTGTATGTAAATATTCATCAAACTTACCTGAGTATCAATAGTTTGAAAGGAGTAAAAATGCATCTCAAGATATTATTAAATTTTTTCAACAATAAAATTCTTGAATATTATGATTAATAAAGGCGAAACAAGTAAAGATATAATACAGTGCACGACAAAAGTTAAGGAATTGAGTAAAATCTGGTCTAGCTTTCGGATGAGTCCGAATTTTAGTTTCAAACTTTTCAAATATGAAGATAATATAATTAATTAGATGAAAAACAATTAGTTTTTACGTAAGGTCATGTTGAACCCAAGATAAGTCCAAATAAAAGGATTTGAACATAAGGCCAAGTATGGAAATTTTTTAGGGATTTAACATTGGAAAATGGACTCATCAAACATTCAGCCTTAAAACATGATTAAAAATGATCCACAAATTTATCTAATTATAATTTATTGTGGACAATTGACAGGACTATAACTATACAAATTTTCATGACCCTGACTTCACTCGTCTCTTATTACTAGGCCCAAACCCGTTATTATTTATTGAGCCTTATGTTAAATTCGAATTTCTATAACTTTTTAACTAAAAGTCCGTTTTTGGCGAAAATTATCGCAATATGATTGTGTGATAAAGCTGATTAAAATATGAATGAATCAAAATGACGATCAATCTTGACATTCGATTTTTTACGAAAAACCTAAACTTTTGTCGCATGTTCATATGTTCAAATCCTTTTATTTGGAATTATCTTAATCTTAATCTTGGTTAATAATGTTGCTCAGCAACAGATGCTTACGGCAGGATTTTTGATTAGCGTCTGAAAAAATTTCGCAAAGAGATCTGATGGGCATGCAGACTTATCGCTTTAAATATGTCAGATCAATATTTGGGTATTTTGAAAACGGAAGCTAATGTGTTTCAGCTCGAAAATCAATTTGTGAATCTTTTGAACGTCACTGTCTAACCAAGCAAATGATAATTTGGAAACGTTTAGTCTTCCTAAAGTACAATCCTGAAACGAATGTTTCTTATTCACCTTAAGAATCAACCTTATATTAACTAATTATTATTATCTTATCACAATTATATAAAAATATATCTTAAACATAAACTTTAATGTTACTAAAGGGAAGAGGAAGGACTGAATGAAAAGATACAATGTATATCGAATGGATATATATGACGAAGGTGATCATGATCAGTATCATGATCACCTTCTAGAAACATTCTATTAATTAAATAATCAATACTCATTCGTGACAATCTATTGATGACCATGATATTCATGGTCATCATCATGGTAACAATAGAAACAATACATAGACATGAACAAATCAATAATTTTGTTACAATCCCAAGGATGAGATGCAGTCTCATATTAATCGATTAATTGAGTTGCCAACTCAATTGGAATCAGTTGGTTATAAAGTTGACAAAATGATGTTGATCTTGGTACTATTCTCAAGTTTACCGAAAAATTATGAAAATTTGATCGTCGCTTCAGAAGCACAAAAAGATAAAATTGATTTTGAATTTGCCTGTGGTCATATACATGCATTAGAAGAATAAGAACGACAATCATCTTGTAAAGGTGAAGATAATTCTGGAATGATCTCCGCTTTAAATGTTACAGAGAAAAGAAAGAAATACAAATTTAAAGGAAACTGTAACATTTGTCACAAATTTGGACATAAAGCTGAAAATTGTTTCAAACGAAAGGCAAAAGAAGATCAAAACGGAAAAGATTATAAAATTAATAATAATGATAACGAGTCAAAAGTAAACTGTGTTGATTATCAAGCATTATTAGCTAATCATGATAATGATGGTGATGAAAATTGGTTAGTTGATTCTGGTGCTACTAATCATATGTGTTTTGTTCGTGATTATTTTGAAGATTTTGAACCAATCGAAGGTAAATCAGTAACTATTGCGAATGATAAGAAGGTCATTGGTGAAGGTAATTTTATCATCAAAGATACAGTAAAGAATAAAAATCTTAAATTAACTGGTGTACTTTTTGTACCTGAATTGAGACAAAATTTGGTTTCGGTTGCTAAGGTTATAAGTAAGGTATTGATATCATTTTCAGACAAGATGAAGTTACTGCTTATTTTGGTAATGATATTATTTTCAAAGCCTTGCAAAATTCTGGTGTTTTCAAGATAAAAACTGATTGATTAACTAGACTTATTCATGTGATGCTCAACTAAAACATGCTGATGAAGATAAAAATTCTGATAAAATTGTTGATCAAAATACTGACCTAATGATTTGGCATCGCCAATTAGACCACGTTGATCAAACTGGCCTAGCTAAATTTGTTGATCAAAATGATTTAATCAAGAAAATTAATATTAATAATATTAAATGTTTTGACTGTTTATTTGGTATACAGAATCGAAAATCTTATCCTGAATCATCAACACAATCAATTGATAAACTTGATATAATTCATTTTGATGTTTGTGGTCCAATGAAATTTGAATCTCTTGGAAATTATTATTTTGTATTCCTCGATGATCACAACCATTATTCTTTTATTTATTTCATGAGAGAAAGGAAAGAAGTTCCTGAAATATTGATCAGATTTGTTAATTTCGTTGAAAATCAAACAAATATGAAAGTAAAAATAATAAGAAGTGATGGTGCTCTTGAGAATACAAGTAATAAAGACACTGAATTTCTGAGTTCAAAGGGTATTAAGCATGAAATATCTTGTCCTTATACACCGGAGCAAAATACTAAAGCTGAACGATTAAATCGAACCATACAAGAAATTGTTCGATGTTTGTTATATGAATCTAAGTTGGATCAAAAGTTTTGGGCCGAAGCGGCTAATGCCGCTAATTATGTTCTTTATTTAAGACCTTGCTCATGTATCGATCACAATTATAAGTACGATTACTGGAAGAAAATTAGATTATAATCGATTGAAAGTTTTTGGTTGTAAAAGTTTTGTTCATGTACCGAAAATATTTCGAGATAAGTTTTGTGATAAAACTAAGGAAAGTATTTTCATTGGTGATTCAGATGATCACAAAGGTTACAAAGTTTATGATCCAATCGACAACAAAGTATCAATTTCAAATGATGTCTAGTTTATTGAAAATGACAAAAGTGAAATTCATGAAATTTATCAAAGTAATGTCACTAAAACTGAGCAAAATTTCCCAAGAACTTTCTCAGAAGCAATGGAAAAAAGATGATGCTATTGAGTGGAAGAAAGCGACTGTTCAAGAATTAGAATCATTGAAAGATAAACAAACATGGAGATAAGTTGATCGAACTGATGAAAAGAAGTTGATCGGTAATAAGTTGGTATATTGTATCAAGTACCATGGTGATGGTATTGTTGACCGATACAAAGCTAGACTTGTAGCAAAGGGTTATACTCAGACTGAAAATATCGATTATCATGAAACTTTTGCTCCTTTTTCAAAATTAACTTCAATGAGATTGATAATGAAATTATAATGATCAACAAAATGGTTATCAAACAATTGGATATCAAGACGACATTATCTCGAGACTTGTCTCAATACAGGGTGACAATTAATATGTGACTTTTTTGAGTCATATCTTTATTTTTACTTGGCCGATTTTTTTAAGATAAAAAACAAACAGAACGCTTGTAAACACTTCAAAGTTAATGTTTGATGTACTCGAAGTGACCTCCATTCGAGTTTGCACAAAATTCAAGCCTTCTTACAAATGAGAGAAATACCCGATTCCGCATGTTAGTATCGATAGTTTTAACCTCAGATTTGATTGCACTTTCTAAGTCTATTAGTGTCTTTGGTTTATGAGCATAAACTCTATCCTTCAAAAATCCCCATAAAAAGAAGTCACATGGGTTTAAATCAGGGCTATAAGGTGGCCAGTCTATCCCATTTCCACAGAATTTTTGGTACCCTAGACCGATAACCCTGGAACCAAACATGCTGTAAATAGTTTCAAATACTTCCTGTGTCCTGTGGGAAGTAGCACCATCCTGCATAAACCAGTGGTCTTGGGTCAGTCCATTTCGTCGTAACCATGGGAAAAAGATGCCTCTTAGTAAATTTTTGTAACTTTCTCCTGTTACATTATTCTGAAAGAAAGTGATGTAAATCTTGTCAGTGCATATCGCTGCTCATGCTGTCAACCTTTGCGGGTGCAATGGCTGCGAATCGAGGGCCTGTGGGTTCTCCTTTCCCCAGTGACGAAAATTTTGTTTATTAACATATCCATCTAAATGAAAATGTGCTTCATCACTCAAAATGATCTTATTCGCTTGTATTACACCAGTTCGACCCACTTCCCCCATCTGAGCACAGAAAGCAACACGTTTGGTCATGGCCTCTTGAGTGAGTGCTTGTCCAATCCAAATCTTGTAAGGATGCCATTTTAAGAACCTTCGTAGGATTAATCTCATTGATTCTCGATTGATGCCGAGCTCCTGTGAGGCATGTCTTATTGATGCATGGGGATTTGCAGTGAAATAAGCTTCAATTTGGTCCAAACTCTCTGGAGTGGTCACTTCATTTGGTCTTCCTTCATTGTCTTCCCTTCGGTCGTGAAGCGTTCCATGAGCCAAAAATCTATCTATTACTCTGTTTTAAGTCATAATAAACACAAATGAACACAGAAAAAACCATTGGTTATCAAACATTAGCAAAAAACCGAGACACTGAAAATTGTAAAAATTTCAATCGGATATTATTACCTGCTGATTGTAGACTCAGACATCAAACTTTCATCAGGATATTTGGTCTGTAGTGCCCGTCGAGCGGCAGTCTTAGATTTACCACTTGTGTAATATTTTTCGATCAAGAACACTTTTTGTTCAGTTGTAAGGTCGGCCATTTTGCAATTTTGTTGAACTTAAAATTTGAAAAAAAACGGTTTGAACAAAACTTTGGAGTGTCTACTTGAAAACTAAAGTGAAAAAAACCGGTCGAAAATTGTCCAAGTAAAAATACACGCATGTGCAAAAAAGTCACATATTAATTGTCACCCTGTAATTCTCGAACGGCTGAAGTCCTCATTCCACGATCAAGAAGCAAGTGGTCGAGGGGTCCATTGTAAGGATGTGTGGTCGTACAGAGTCCTAAGTTCTCATGGCTATGTGCATCAGTGGGTTGACCACTTGAAAGAGTTCTTCAATGAAGCTGGTGTTCATGCCCAGAGAATAGCAGCTTCCTAGCGTCCGATGCGGGTTTTCTTTAGGGATCGCCGAGTCCCAAGAAAATAAATTTGCAGACCGAGTTCTGGAGTATCCGTGAAGACACTGGTGTAGAAAGAACAAAGCCTAGCCTGCTTTGATAGCCTGCTTAATGCCATCAAGCAAGGCTACCCCATATAAGCTTATTCGGCTAGAGTTGGAAGGACTCGAATCAAAACCTTGGCCTACTAATATTCGTAGGCCCCGGGCTTTCAGGCACCCGGTAAACAACACCTGTTTGGACAGTAAAATCCAGCTCTACCTCCACGTGGTACTGGCTGAGTAATGCCCACAGAGCTCTGGTATCATATATCACACATATCAATTCACCACAAGATGCCGTCCCTTCAATCACTCTACACACAATTCTAGGTCCAGTCTTTAGATTGATTGACGCTCATGTGATAATCAATGGTAATTCGGCTTTCATTGATTCAACTCTTTCTCTGATAAACTCCACGCTTCTTCAGAAACTGAACCTCAAGTTGACTTCGAACAAGTCACTAGCCATGGGTCAGGCCATTAGGGCTTTTACGGGGATTCTAAAACATAAACCTTCTCGTTTAAGATAATTCATCATCTTTAATTTCCGGATATCGAAACTTTTATCATTAAAAATATCAAATAAACTCTGTGAGTTATTACGCAAAAGGATGATAGCCAAAATGGCCTGTTAATCCGAATTTTTCAAAATAGGTATCAATCGAAAGCTCTCGGTTAGCTGAGTCGAACGGACTGATCAGAATAAAAATTATTTTTCCCTTGGGAATTAAATGTAACTTTTTTGTGACACCATGATGCACCGATCGGACCCAATTTTTTAGATGTAACTTTTTATGAAAAGTTCAACGCTGTACTCAGTTTAGTTCTAGACCCCCGAGTTTTTGAGTTATCACCGTTTTTTTATATTTTTCATGGAAAAATATTTTTTATTCTGATCAGTCCGTTCAACTCAGCTAACCGAGAGCTTTCGATTGATACCTATTTCGAAAAATTCGAGAAAGTTCAGCAAAAAATCCCACATTTTGGCTATCCTCCTTTACTTGCGTTCCTGGACCCATAACCAGTTCTGATAAATCGTGAGTTACACTGAATTTATAAACTCAATTTAATTGATACAATTTTAATAGTAAAGGTAAATTTGATATGAACAAGATGAAAGATCAACGTAAAGTTAAGATTAATTCGCTTTAGATTATACATCATATTTTAAAGATAATGAGAGAGGCAACAATTAAACGGATAATAAATTAAAATGGTTAAGCAACAAACAAATAACTAATTGTTGACAATTTTGATTAACTTGATTTAGTTATCAACATCCCAAAAATGATTAAATGTAATGATTATAACTAATTACTTTCTCCGAAAGTCTATGTTAAGCTTACTTAAGAATTTACATGATGACTTTCCAAGAAAGTCAACTTGATAATCATTATGACGAGAGTTATAATCAATTGATTTGATTCAATAAGATGATCAATAATAACTTTCCAAGAAAGTTAATTAAAATCGTTATAATCAGAATTGTCTTTCATCAATTGTATTCATTCCACGAGAATTTAAAATTGATTGTTGTCCTTATACATTTGCCGAGGACTGTAATTTGAATAAATTAGAAGTTAAAAAAAACGGTGGAAGGTTTTTATTTTGAACACCCTTTACATTTAATATCTCAGATAATTGATTGTGTAGAGTTTCATGAATCAATTTTTCGTTTCACCAAGGAATTGTCGACAATTAAATCTATTATACAAATTGATAAATCATCGATTGTATTCAATAGCCATAGGAGTTAAAAAGAACAGAATTTATTCTGATAGTTTCTCGCACAATATAAGGATGATAAATCGCTTAAATTTATCTATTGCAAACAATTACTATCAAAGAAGCAACTCTGCGGGTATATACTAATATATATGCATTTATATTTTTAATATCATATTCATATTGAGTTCGGTCATCAGAAAAGTGGTTCAGGTGAAACATGATGAAATCTTTAAAAGGAAAAAAAATTTTCCATTTGAAAACTTGAGGCAAGTTTACCGATTGATTATTGGTTTACCTCGGGATGACATCGATATCAGGGGGCAGACCATCAAGTCACTTCTTCGGTTCAATATATTTTACGAGATTTTCCTTATACCTCATCTTGGTTATTATTTAGAGGGAACAACCAAATTATTTATTGTGAATTATTACAAACTTAGGATCAACATACTTCGAGTTTTCTTTCTTGTTTATATTTTACGTTCAATTTTTTTGCTTTCAACTGAAAATGAGTCTATCCAAATCGCTTTGGGAGATGTAGCTTTCCGTTCACAAGATCACATTGCAGTCAATTTAGTCATATTCGTTGGATTAACAAGTTTCATTATACTTCGAGAATGGATGATTTATATTGAAATGAAAGGTAAAATCATTTGGTACGAGTTTAATAAAATTCCTACGGTTTCAGATCCAAAATTTTATCGACTCACTGATCGGCGAATGAGAGAATATCTCAAATATGTTTTCATAAGTTCTACTTTCTTTAATCGATTGATAATCTCTACAGTTCCTTTCAGCATTGCATTCGTAGCTGGTCCATTCATGATTAACCCTTGGTTCTATAAGCTTGCTAAATTGCGAATCGCTGTACTACTATGGGGCTTCATAACATTTTATTCAGTATTGCACATAATTATTACATGTTACGGTCTTGGGAATTTTTTTTCATACATCGTAGCTTATTATACGTCTCGATTACATTCTTGCATTGATGCTGCTATCGCATTACGATACAATAGCAATGAGATTAATATTACAAGACTTTTGAAGGAAATTGACGGATATCTTTACAATTTAGGTAAAACAGCTGATTCGATTCGGTACATGTTGCTGTTATGTTTTACTGTTATAGTTGCAACTGCAGATATATTCATCTTCTTTGGTTTAATTTTTCAAACGACTTCGAAAGTTTTTTCTCATGGTGCTACATTTCTGGCAATAGTTCTGATTTTCTTTACTGCATTAATTTCATATATTAATGGTCTTAGCGTTGTCAAAGTAAGTAGAGTAAATGAATGGCTGAGTTAAGGTCCTTGTTACTATCAATTTCTTCTTGTTTTCCAGCAAGAAAGATTAAGTGTTCATCTTTATGCGATAAGCAAATTCAGCAGGACAAAAGTTTCAACGAAAATAAAGGTTCGATCATAATACACTTATTAAAATCTTGAGTCAGATAATTTTTGTATCATTAGATTCTCACTACAGTGGATCGATTGTTATTTCCTGGAAACGGTATCAAACTTGGTCATTTAATCAACATGGATAATGAATTTTGGCTAAAGGTAAACATAATCACGTTAACTATTAATATTAAAATTACAAGTTAAAAATATTTTACATAAAATTTTTTCACAGTTCATTCTGGAACTTGTTTCATCTCTCATGCTTATGATAATAAACCTAAGATCAATACTTAAATATTAATAAAAAGCTGATCGTTACTAAGTCGTTGACAAATCAGCTGTTGGAATTTTCTTCCAGCAGTGGTGAGCCTGGATGAAATTAGAACAAAATCTGGATTATCATCAAGATCAAAATTTTTTGGATAAAAAATTTATTAACTTATCAACTCTTGATATTCGAAACCAAGCCGCATACGATAGAATGAGCTGATAAAATCACGAAAAAATCGAATCATATTTCGAATCTATTAGTTGTACCATCTTAAGAAATCATAATCTTGTCTTTTCATATTTTTGTCGTTTATGATTGAATAAAAAAATTCTACAAGCTATTCATGTATTACTAGTACGCGCAACAACTAATAATTATTTCTTATTTTTACGAGAACCAAAAACGCCACTATAGCGATCAATTTTTTGAACGATTCAATTTCACTCTCAAAGTCGGCTTTGCGACTTACTAAGACACATTACTATCATCATGATAGTATCATGTACACTTTAAGGCGTTGTGGAGATGGTTTGATGGTGCACACGGAATAATTTAAACATTACAGTCGGAAATTTAAGTTAATTAGAAAATTCTTTTTGTCTGAACCACTAAATTCCCCTTTCATTCAAATTTTTCTAGTTAATATAAAATTTAAAAAAAACAGCATTTTTCATCTTTTTTAAATTGGAAATATTCTTGTTATTCTCAATTACATAATACAGTCATGAAAAATGAGTTTCGAATGGTTTTTAATCATTCGCGCAACTTAGCTACTAAAATCAATTGATAATCTTTATCATCAGTGATAAGACTTAGATGATTTATTCATTGATTTTTCTTATCTTGATTGTTTAATCTATTAATTTTAGTCACTACCTGCGCGAATGATTAAAAACCATTCGAAACTCATTTTTCACGACTGTATAATAATCTTTACTGTAAAATATAAAGTTCTGAATAATATACAGTATCTTGCACAAAAACTGACAGTTGCGTTTTACTTGCCAGTATTAATTTCTAATCAATCTATTTGTAAAAAATCAGATCAAAATTCTGATTCGTTTTCAAACTAGGACGATAAACGCTACTGTCACTCTTTGTGCAAGATACTGTATACCCAAGACAAGCTATGGTTGAGCCTTCTTTGATTGCTGTTCCATAAAAGAATTTTAGTTTAAGACTTTCATTTTTTTCTCAA